TCCAGTGCAGGAATGTCATTATATGGGACGACCTCAAAGCCGGGCATAAAGGGACCAAAACCTTCATAACTACTGGGGTCAGAGGAGCTGGAGATGGCTGCCATGGTGCGGCCCCAGAAGTTTCCCTCTAAACAACAAGAGTGAATGAGTATTTATCATATTGTTCATAGATTACAACATGATATAGGAAATATGGAACCTGTGGTCACCTTATCCTATATCTATCAAGAGGATTGGTAAGCATGCTAATGCTAAGTTTGGTAACTTCAGTCTATTGTTGTAATATTTAAACTGTAAAGAATAATTTTTAATCACGAGTTGTAGTTTTTTTAGTTTTATATTTGTAAAATCTGAACACAAAATGTAAATGTCATGAGTTAAATACATTAAGCATCAAACATTAGCGCTCAGGCTAACTGTAAACAAAAAACGTCATTGAAATGTATTGAGGAAATGTATGAGGAAGAACTACATTCTGACATCTTGAGACAAATGGATGCAATAAAAGTTTGTTTTTTTTTACTTAATACGACACTAAACTGTGATGTAGTGTGTTATGACAAAGCATTACTTTTACTTACCAGCAAAAATGATTTTGGCCTGGTTTTTGGGAACCCCCTTTACATTGTAAGCCCACTTGCGGGCAAGCTTGCAGGCAGTCTCACCACCTTCGACACCTAATTTGTTACAACAAAAATGAATAAAATGCCCAAAATGTACTCATCATAACCTCTGAACAATTAGCTTTGGGTGTTTCCCATAATTACCTGTATTCATGGGTAAGACTTTGTCATAGCCAAACATATGGGTGATGTACTCCTCATAGGTTCCCAGCACATCATTGAAGAATGCTCTGGAAGTCAGGGTGAGTTTGGAGGCCTGGGCATTGAGCGCAGCTATGATCTTTGGGTGGCAGTGACCCTGGTTTACTGCACTGTAAGCACTCAGGAAGTCATAATACCGGCTGCCCTCCACATCCCACACATAGATGCCTGAAGTAAAGAAAACCAAGTTCTTGCAAAGTGTCTGATGATTGATAAGAGATTTTTAACATTTTGAGAAAAAATGAACTCACCCTGCCCCCTCTCCAAGGCCACAGGGAGGGGATGGTAGTTGTGCGCTCCATACTTGTCCTCGCGGGTGTAGATTTCCTCTGAGGTGAGTGGACGTTCAACCCTCAGTTTGGAGGCCGCGGTGGAGGCCGGACGCGTACCAGAGTGGATCGCTCGATGGAGAAGAGGGGCAGCACGGCTCAGGCTGCAGCTGGCCTGGACAATAATTCCTTTCATGGTGCTTTACTACTATGTCTAAAAGGTAGAGATAATTTAATTCAGTTGGTATCAGTGCCAAATGTAAAATAACATATTCAATAAATCTCTCAGTATAACCCTGAAACATTTAACTTTAAGACTAGATTAAAAACAGCGCTGCATTTGCTGGGTTCAGCTTTTCAAATATGAGAATTGGTTGCTTTTTTTTGAAACATGATTGGCATATTAAGCAAAAATGAAGGTTAGCTACATCTCTGGTAGTTTCACAGCTCTCCTGTGAGCTGAACACACTTCCAGCAAAAGGCTGAAGCAGTGGTTGTCCTTTGTAGTTTCCACTTTAAGAATTAATACAATAACTGGGTTCACAAGAGTTTAGACTGCCTGTCAAATACACAAACATACATGCCACAACAAGTACACCAAGTAGTAACACCAACACCCAAACTGACAGATGTTCTAAGCAGACAATACTGTAGCTCAGTGGCCTGTACTACGAAGCGGGGTAACTGGCTTATCCAGGTAACTTCAGGAGTAACTTCGTGACGCCGGGTGTAACTTCCCGGTTAACCCGTACTGCGAAAGGTGGATAGGTGTTACCCGGGGTCTGTTGCCAAGGCAATTTACACCGCATCTCTAAACTGCTCCGAGCAGGTTTTGTTCGTGGTTAACTCAAGGTTATCCTGTATATGCGGACTACACACCACATCTGTACTCAGTGTTAATGATGAGAAGTAGGATATTAATAGGCTACCCACTGCTTCATAAAATATGTTTATTAAATATTTCATCCTGATTTGCTCCACTGCGGTTGCAATGAAGTTCTGAACACAACAGCATTACATTCAGAGAGCGAGGCATGCAGCCTCAGTGATTATAAAGAGGAATCTTAATTAATTAACGGGATCGTTTCGTAGATGGAGCCCATCTATGGTCTATAATTGAATTCTCCTGTTTGTTTTCACATATTTAGATAGACTATTTTACCTGTCCCAAAAATATGGAGCTAGAGTTAATAATCCGAGAAAAAAAATCCTAGATGAAAGTGTGAAATTTACAAGAAGAAGAAGAAGTTTTCTTCTGAATACGCCCAATCCAAGGCAAAGTCTCTAAGGTGCATGATAATGATTGTGGGCTAAATTCAGTAGTATTTCCTCACTGCTAAATCCGATTGCAAAGTTTAATATAACTTTCCAGTGCACGCATAGCCTACTACACGGCAGGCTTTGTCGTCTGCCACGATATTAGATCAGCCGTTAACTTGTCTTTACGTTCATAATTTCCTGACACTATAGCAACGTGCATTCCTCTGGAGAAATACGGAGCATGCACCGTTTGGAAAAAAACTCTGCCTGCACGGCCACACACACCCCTTTTATGTGAACGCGCACCACGTCTGATTAAGTTAACACCAGGTTAACACGGACTCAACTAACCAACATCTTATCCAACTTCGTAGTACTTGAGTTTGCCTGATAACCCCGAGTTAACTCTGAGTAGGTTGAACTCCCTTCGTGGTAGAGGCTACAGGTCACTAGTCACTCATTTAAAAAAAACAAAAACAGTCTTTAACACAATCAATTGATCAATAAAAGCCAAAGTGAGTGATTCACCTAAAAACAGGACCAAAAAAAAAAAAAAAAACAACTATTATTAAATAAAACCTTAAAAATTAACAAATGAAAAATACATACAATATGAAACCTTATAAATAACGTTTAAATATCTCAGGGAACAGGCAAGTATAACACGTCATTCAAAAGTTCCCCAGCTGTGTGCACAAAAATACCTCTTCATGCTTCTGTAGAGCACCTTGGTATCTGTAATCGGTCACCCAACATACTTTTTGGACTACTTAAAACACAGAGCAGAGGAGGAGCTTCCAACTTGAGTATGGTTTTAACTCTTTCCGGTTCTTTGCTCCAGAACCGATTAAAGAGGTCAAAGAAATTACAGAACCAGCCTTTTTAATAAATTTGTTAATCCCGTTCCTATTATTTGCAGCGACGCTCTTACTTCAAAATACAACAGTATAAAACAAAGAAATGCCCCCCTTAAAAAACCTAACCGTAGCTACAGTGGTTGAGCCTGATAAGCTAATAACACTGCTATGTCAGATTCCACAGAGCACATAGGCTTTACTGGTCTGCTGAACAATGCTTCTCTTTCACACTCAACACAATAGAGGTAAATGTCTTTGATGGGTGTGGGTTAACAAAAGCTAATCCCACAGCAGCATGGCAACTCAACTGTGATGTTCCAGACTTTTCTATTTGGTCGCAATTAAAGCAGGCTTGTTTTAAATGTCCCTTCATTTTTTCAAGCACTGTACCATTCACTACTTTTCTTCTTCTTCTTCATTTATAGAATTCCCTACTACTTTCTAAACGTTTAAAATATTTATGACAGACGAGGTGGCCCTCTTTGTGTCTTAGTGGCACTGAACGGTTTTGATATGACACCATATTTCACCTTGTGCTATTCACATTTAGGTTAGGGAAGATGTCCTGGGATGTCTGACTAAGCCAAAGAATACTGTGACTGTTGCTGCTCAACTGTTGCGGGAGTTTGAATAACCTACTTAGTAAGGCATTTTAGTTTCCATGAAATTAACTACTACTTACTGAATACATATTGAGTTATTAACAAACAAACACACAAACACACACACACACAGAAGGGAATGTGAATATGAGATATCCAGCAAGACTTGGCTCGGGATAATCTGTAACCTTGTGCTGTGAATAAATACACAAAGCAAACAGACACCGTCTGGACTGGACTACAGCAAGGACAGCGGACCCGTGAGGATTCGTGGCACTCAGTTCCCATTAGCTATCATCTCTCTCTTCTCTTGAGAGATGATAGGTCGCTGGGGAGCTGCCTCCTTAACACACCCACCAACATTACAACCTGGTGGGAGCTAAATAAAGACTGACAGTATGTTCCTATCTGATGATAGTCTCTGCGAACTAAGCAGTTCTGCCAAACCAGTTTGAATTAACAGTTATATAACGCGGTATCGAGGAACCTTTTATACAGTCTATGCGTGAAACATAACGCGCAGCTCGTCCTACTTTCAAGCTCTAAGGTAAAACGGTGTCACTAACAGTTTATATGACACTTGCCGACCAGTCGACATAAATAAATACATGTTTCTTCTACACTGTCTATGGGTTCTTCTTGCCCAAGGAGTGTAAACGCTTTTAAGATCAATGCTAACCAGACATAGGTCCTATAACAGTTAGTTAGACCCTAGCTAGCTAATATTAGCACATTCCTGCAGTTAGTTTTTTACAGCCATCACTAAATTATCAAGCAAGCTTTTTATAAGAGGAGAGAGGAGACATAAAAGGTAGTCAAACAGTACCAGAAAGAATGAAGCGACGTTGAAAACCCTCTTAAACGCGAATGATGTTTCTCCTGACCGATGGTTGAAGCGAAAGGCTTATGTGAGAGTCTGGCGTTATTTTCCCCCCACCCGTTTGGCGTCATGTCCCGCTTTACTGTGCTGAGATTGGCTAGTATGTTACTCGTCACTTTGACGCGTCCTTGTGATTGGATACTCGCTGTTTGATGCTGGATGAGATACTAGGTGCTCCCACACTTGAGACTTTGGGTCTTTATTACGAAATAGGACAAATCGAATCGGTTAATTTATCTAACCCTTTATATTTTATAGAGAGCAACACATGGTTTAAGAATGCATGATTTGCCGAGAAGCAAATGTTACAAGAACAACCGGTTACATTAGGTAACGTTAGAGTTACATGTAGTTGCATCACCTCTCTATATAAGGATTTAAATATATATTTACATGTGTTTTATTGTATTATCGTTAAGGTCAGTGTCAATATACTAGTGTTGCTAGCGGCACCATGGATGTACAAATCATAGACTGTATAAATCATAGATTGTGAAACTAAAAAGGTTAGTGGAAAATTTAGTAGAGCCAGCATCCAATCACAAGGACGAGTCGAAGCAACGAGAGAAAAGCAATACCGTGACTGGCGCGTGGTGCCGATATCGTGCATGGCTGCGTCAGAGACCACGCCTCCATGCTGCAACTTTTTCCGGGGATTGCAACCCTCATTTTTGACAACATATACATGTTTGCAGCGGTAAGCCTAGAAGTCTTCCTGAAACCCATAGTCTATCAGCTATAAATAATCACTGTTATCACGAATTTATAATATTTAACACGTTATTGTTCTGTCATTTAATATTATTCTTGAACTAGATTATGTGTGGAAACGGTATTAAAACAACGGGAGCTCTTACTGTAAACAGTATAATTACATATCAATTCATTTAAACACAAGAGGGAAGCTGCCTGGCATCAAGCGCATGCGCTTTGAGGCTTCCATTTCGCCATGGCTGACAAGGGCTGGCCAGTCTGTGCGAAGAGTTTGAAAGGTGTCATACTGGACATGTGTGGCGTTTTATATGACAGTGGGGAGGGCGACGGGGTAGCCATTCCTGGTTCGATTGAAGCTGTGAAAAAGTGAGTGAATACGTTTTAGACGTTTGTTTGCTACTTGCATGTTTAGCGTATAGAGCGAAGTGCATGCACTCGGTTTGTGGGTCTGTGTACGTGCAGGATTAAAGCAATTACTGAATATATAAACAGTGTGAGAGCTTTCTACATGTAAGCGACAGTTTGTTGCCACATAGCACATGCTCCATCCTCACTTTGATCTTCTGACTCTTTCAAAGGCTCAAGGCATCTGACCTGCAGCTGCGCTTTTGCACCAATGAGACCCAGGCCACCAGAGAGACGTTTGTAGCCAAGCTCCAAAGACTGGGCTTTGACATCTCTGTGTCTGAGGTCTTCTCTCCTGCTCCTGCGGCCGTGGCTGTTCTTAAAGAGAGGGGTTTACGGCCTCATCTGCTGGTGTATGATGGTAATGCTTTAGATTGACAACATTTTGACATTAACCCATGGTTATCCTCAGCGTCTGACCCTATAAGTAGTGCATATAAAACATTAAGTTGAATGACATTTTCATCCACTTAAACCAGAGTTAAACAGTTGCTGCTGCAAAGTTAACATGCAGAGCCAGCACACCAGCTCCAGACTGTGATACTTACAACTCTCCTGCTACTATAGCTAACATAACAAAAAAGTATACTGGCAAACTAGAAAGTAAGCTGAATGTCTGTGGGCAAGTAACGTTACTGACACGCAAAGCATGGCTAGAACGCCTAAAATAGTGTCATGAGATTTTAAAGATGTAATAATACTTGTTGGTTTTGGTCTTCCATGGGATTTGATGATGAAAAATAAAGACTATCAGTAGATTTATCCTTTTAAAGGACCCAACCATAAAAAGTATTAAAATGTATTTAACTACTCTTCTGCAGGACTTGTCCCCGAGTTTGACTGTGTTGACAAGACCAACCCAAACTGCGTGGTGATTGGAGACGCAGCTGAAAATTTTTCCTACCAGAACCTGAACGAGGCATTCAGGGTCCTCATAGGCCTGGAGAAGCCAGTGCTGTTCTCTCTGGGCCAAGGGTAAGAGGATATTACAAGTCGGGAGTCATTACTATATTGCTTATCCCAAGGAACGAGCACAATGTGAAATATAAAATGTCATGACAGAACTTAACAAAACATTTGTGATGTTTTACTCTCTTTATAGCCGGTACTACAAGGAGACAGATGGTTTGAAACTAGATGTCGGGGTTTACATGAAGGCTCTGGAGGTACAGTAGGTGCATAATTTGCACTGATATATAATGAATTGCTAACAACAGTTCATGTGTATCCATGTGAACAGTAACTAATCATAATCATTATTAACTTATTGTTCCCTCCAGTATGCCTGTGATTTAAAGGCTGAAGTCATTGGAAAGCCATCCACAACATTCTTCCAGAGTGTTCTCAATGACATGGGGCTTCAACCACATGAGGTACGTAACAACAGAGGTGACTGTATGTATCCAGAATACAAGATAGTACAGGTAAGTGTAATGTATGTTGTGGAATAATGAAGACTCTTAATTCAGTTCCTTGATCAAGGCAAAAATGCTAAATATTTAGCTTTGCTATGGAGATTATTCTGTTTCTATTCTTTGACTCAAGCATGCACTTTGTCACCTTACTTGAAATTCACAGTGATCACTCCCTCTGAGTAGTAGACATGCATTAGTCAGCACCTGCAGTCGTACAGTTACATGAAAAAAACACTAAAATGATAAGGAACCAATGGGCAATCGACTCCCCAAATAGTTTCAGAATGAATTCAATTCACAGGAATTTTAGAGAATGCTTAAGAGAAGCAACATACAAGGTAAATTTATTGTAATGTCTAATTGTCTAATTTAATGTCTCTTCAGTTGTACACCCTTGCGTTTTCTATTTTTATTTTTGTTTGTTTTTCTATGCAGATTGTCTGAACATGTGTTTTAATGTCTCCTTGAAATCTGCTCATCTCAGTGTATCCCAAGTCTGTGCTCTATCACTGCGGTCTCTCTAAGCATATCTATTTTTAGACCTGGCAGTTGGCACTCTTTTAAAGCTGGGTTCATCTCAGACTAAGCCTCGCTCTTTTTTCTGGATTTCTTTTTTTTCCCTAAGACATGGCTATATCCACAGCTATATCTGCTGCCCTTTCCAAAGCCTTCAGTTACTCACACAGGTTTTGATGCAGAGATGATCGATGACGTTTTCTTTTTCCAAAGTGGAAGTTCCTTTCTCTTTGAGTCACTCACTTAATAATCAAAATGAAACTACTCCCTTCTTGCGGACAAGTATAAATGCTATCATTTCTTTACCAAACTCTTGAGAAGCGAAAGAGGAGGGCTTTCAGTGATGGTAATAAGGAGAAGGTGATTCCAAGGACTACAGACCTATGGCACTGACCTCCCACATCATGAAGACCCTGGAGAGACTGGATCTGGAACAGCTGCAGCCCATGGTCAGACCTCTTCTGGACCCCCTCCAATTCGCCTACCAGCCCCGACTAGGAGTTGAGGACGCCATCATCTTCCTGCTCAACCGCATCTATGCCCACCTAGACAAGCCAGCTAGCACTGTGAGGGTCATGTTTTTTGACTTCTCCAGTGCTTTCAACGCCGGCCGGCCCTACAGGGTGAGAAGCTGACAGCGAGGCAAGTGAATGTCCCCCGCGTGTCCTGGATTGTTGACTACCTGACTGGCGGACCACAGTATGTGCACCTGCAAGTTGCCACACTGTGGGTCAGACAACGTGGTCAGCAACAACGGGGCTCCGCAGGGGATTGTCCTCTCTCTCCCTTCTTCACCATCTACACCACGGACTTCAACTACCACAGTCCTGCCATCTTCAGAAGTTTTCTGATGACTCTGCTGTGGTTGGATGTATCAGCAAGGATGACCAGGCGGAGTACAGAGCTGTGGTGGAGGACTTTGTCACATGGTGCAAGCAGAACCGTCTAGACTAAAGACTAAAGACTAAGGCTGGTTGTGGATCTAAGGAGAGCCAAGGCACCAGTGACCCCTGTTTCCATCCAGGGGGTCAGTGTGGACATTGTGGAGGATTACAAATACCTGGGAATGCACGTTGACAATAAATTGAACTGGGCCAAGAACACTCAAACCCTTTACAGGAAGGGCCAAAGCCATCTCTATTTTCTGAGGAGGCTGAGGTCCTTCAACATCTGCAGGATGATGCGGAGGATGTTTTATGAGTCTGTGGTGGCCAATGCTATCCTGTTTGCTGTTGCATGCTGGGGCAGCAGACTGAGGGTAGCGGACGGCAACAGACTCAACAAATGGATCCGCAAGCCCAGTGATGTTGTGGGATGCTGTCTAAGCTACATGTCATCTTGAACAATGTCTCCCACCCACTCCATGGCATGCTGCTCAAACACAGCTTTCAGTGCAAGACTTATTCTGTGACACAGAATTTCCCTTCGGATCAATAAAGTATTTCTGATTCTGAAAATACTTTCCCTAATTAGAAGTTGAATCATATCCCTGTCACAGAACAACCTGCAGGATTCAGTCTGGTACACTTGTTTATGTCATTTCCAGGTGTGATCAGTTCTCACTGCACTAACCTTCCTGCATTCAGTCTTGCAGCTTATCCAGAATAATGCAACCTGTTGTGTCCTTTAGCTCGCATTTAAGTTTTAAGTATCCCAGTTTACTGTAACTGATAATGCTTTGTTCTTCTCATGTCATTATTTTGAATTACAGACCAATGCAAGTCTGGGTTGTTCTTTTTCCTCTCTTCACCTTGTCTGCCACTGGTTAACATTTTTGGTCTACCGTTTATTTAAAAATCACATTTTCCACACTAATAGGCGATGGTGCAAACACATGTTGTGTAACAAGTACCTGGTCAGAGGGGAGGATAGCTAAGAAGTTTTTAAAAGAAACTCGAGGAAGAAAGGAGGGCAGGCTGAAATGCATCCAATTGCCGATGATGCTTAGGTAGGAAGCAGGAACAACAGGAGGAGATAACAATTGGCACTTGATACAATGCATCATATACTGGTGTCACCATCTGATAAAGTAACCAGTGTGTTACCAGTGGAAAGGTAAATTGATCTAGACAGCCTGGCCCCAAGCCTTCCTGCAGGTACCACAAAGCTGGGATAAACTTTCTATGGGATAACTGCTTCTACACATTTACTAAACTAAATTATAAGTTGTCTCTTTCATTACTTCCTCCTCACCTGCAGGCACTGATGATCGGAGACGATCTGGTGAATGATGTAGGTGGGGCCCAACACTGTGGAATGAAAGGCGTTGCAGTCAGGACTGGAAAATACAGGTGGGTGATGTCCTAAATGCAGGAATGCTTTCAGAGTGAACTATGGTTTCCTTGGCACAATCTACCAGGCCTGAACATGACTCCGTGTTGGCAAAAGGTGTCCCTATTGGTTAGTCGACTATCCTTTAGCCATGTCAATGCATGCCCTGCTTAAATATCCTTGAATAGGACTCCAGCTTATTATCAGCTTGTTCTATGGCCTGTGTTTTTTATGCCTGGAGGTAAAAATGAAACAGTTGCTCCCCCTACAAGATTATTCATACATTATTTGTAATGCATATCCATATTTCTAAAGCTATTTTTGAAGAAACAGCTTAAAGAAGTAACAGTGAAAAATGTTTTGATGCATTTTAAATAATAATACACATTTTGAAGCTGGTCTGACCATATAAATGTAAAATCAGAAAATAAAAATCAATTAAACTATTTGCCAGGAGGGGGCGCCCTCACACCAGGATTGCAAATCAAAGTTTCCTGCATAACAAACAGGCTTCCTGTGAGCCAACCATCTTATTCTTCAGTCTTCTAGATTTGTTATTTGATTGAAAATCCGCCGAAAATAGCTTTATTCTCTCCACATGATGAATGCTGGTCGCCCACAAGGTCATAGTCACCAAGAATTTATGATCCCAAATCTGGAGATTACTGGGGTGCCTTTCATATGGTGCAATTACAGAAACATATGGTTGATTATTTTAGATGATTTAGTGGTATTTATGGCTTGAAGAAAAGCGAAAAGTGACTGGGCGTAGGAGGAGACACTGTTATGGAACTACACATTATGTCACACACATGTACATTTAAATTTTTGTTCAAAGCACAGGTTCAAAGTCATACTGTAACTCTGGGTTTTTAATAGTTTTCCTCTATGTAATACGGCCTTAGCCCTAGGTTTTTATATGTCTAATTAAGAAATCTTTATGGAAATGGATGGGGAATCCTGAACATTTACTATTTTAGACTTGCGGTGCTGGCTCGCTTTTATCATTTCAAACATGACACCAGTTACTGTGAAGCAGTAGTGGAACAAGTACTCAGATCCTTTACTTAATATAAGAGCATTAATACGACAATATGAAAAAGTCCAAGGGATTAGAAGCAAAATATACTCACCTAGAATTGCCTTTTCATCGTTTATTATGAATACTTAAGCAACATTTTAACATTGTAGTTGGTCCCGGTGGTGTTATATAAAACTTCTCTTCTGCTGCACATTGCTACACTGTACTGCTTTGTAATTTTTAGGTACAATAATGTACTGCATTATCATATGGGTAACGTGTAAAAATTTCGATAGCTAGTAACTTCATGCAATATTTCCCTCTAAAATGTAGTGGAGTAGAAATATCGTGTTGTCCCGCATGCACGTAACCCTGTGTAATCTGACTAGCAGCTAAACAACTTCCCCCATCAAGCACTAAAGACTGGGATTGTCGTAAGTCAGTTTATTGACAGAGAGAGGGTGAAAGTGGGAAATGAAACACAATGACCAAAGTTACTTAAATATCGATGAGTCACAAACACTATACAGTGATAACGGTCTAAGGAAATAACAGAAAAAAATAACTACACGTAGCTATAATGCTCTAGTATTACTGTAGCTATCATGAGCTAACATGGCTAATTTAAAGGCAATAAGGTAATGCAATGTTATACAATGTATGCATGATAACCCATACCTAAATAAAGTGAAATTGCCTTACACATAGCACAACCCAAGGTATAAGTAGCCTACAAGCATACTGAAGCATACTAGCATGGTGCCATCCTGAAATGAGCTCATCAGTCATCATCAAAATACTCCTATTGCACAACAATCAACAGAGATGTAAAAATGGTATGTCAGCGTACTAAAGTAAAACAATGTCCCAATGGGGACAGAACAAGTATAAAGTTGCATTAAACAGAACTACTTGTACATAGTACTAAAGGAGGCTACTTAGTACAACAGAGCAAAATAAATGTACTTCATTACTTTCTACCCCTGCTGTGGAGGACATCAAACCTCTTCCCTAATATTATTACCATTTTGTTTGGCCATAAAACACAGATTAGTCTGAAGAGGACCACGCATGACCTGCTCCACTGCTGCAGACTGGCATGGTCTCTGGTCATGTGACCAGAGAACGCTGAGTAATCTGCTTGAGCATCAGTCAGCTCTAATCCTGTACTAAGAGCACAGTCACTCACTGTAAAACCTGTCCTGTCTGTACAGAGTAATTCTTACGTTTAGGATGGGAGGATGTGGCTGTGTGTTTCCACACTCTTTTTTTAATGCAAATTTTCAGTGGACTGGGAAGAATCTTTCCAGATTATGTGTCTTCACAATCTTCTTCCAACAGCTCAGTTCAGCTCCAGTGTGCCGACACTCTGAACAGTGTCCATTATACCTAACAGTGTTTTTTTTTGGGGGGGGCAGAATTAAAATAAATGGGCGATGTTTCCTGCTGAAGAACCTGTGTGGATTCTGTAACATGACGTGATGTGTTTCAGCTGTGGAGATCTAAATTTATGGACTGGTGAATAAAGTTTTATATGGTGAAATAAAGGCATACTGAAAGTTATTATGTATGTTGCTAAATAATGTTTTCAGAACAGTACAGTTTAGTGCCATTATAAAGTGTCACTTTTTGTCAGTTTTTTAGTCTGTTGTAGTCATGTTGTAAGTAGGGATGGGAATAGAGACCCGGTTCTAGGGCTGGGCGATATGGCCTAAAAATAAAATCTCCGATTTTATTTACTTTAATTCAATTTACGATTTTTTCCGATTTCCCCCCCTACTTAAGGAAAGCAATAAGGTTTGTTGGTCAGTGCGGCTTTGTTCATCGCGGAGAGATTTTCATAATCGGCTGGCTCTCTCTGTTTCAGGTGTTGGAATAGGTTTGTGGTGCTGCTGCCTTTCACTGCGATAGGCTTTAGGCAAATGTTGCAGCGTGGTGTCTGTTGTTCCTCATCTGTCGCAGCAAACCCATACCAGTTCCAAACAACAGATGACTTTATTCCTTTCTTGGGAACAAACTTCCCGCTCTCACCGGTAGCCATTTTGTCGCTTGCTGTTGCTGTTTAGTGTATGATGTTGTCGCTATGGGAAACGAACACTACGGAAACCCCGGGGAGCCAAAAATGTGCTATTACACAAAAACTCGATTTACTTATTTTTTAAATCGCCCGCAACAAAAAATTCGAATTAATTCATTCAATCGATTTTTCGCCCAGGCCTACCCGGTTCTAAAATTTCTCAAAACCCCTAAAAGTATTCAGACCCCTTTAAATTTTTCACTCTTTGTTTCATTGCAGCCCTTTTCCAAAAATCAAAAAAGTTCATTTTATTTCTCAGTAATGTACACTCAGCACCCCATCTTGACTGAAAAAAACAGAAATGTAGAAATTTTTGCAAATTTATTAAAAAAGAAAAACTGAAATATCACATGGTCATAAGTATTCAGACCCTTTGCTCAGTATTTAGTAGAAGCACCCTTTTGATCTAATACAGCCATGAGTCGTTTTGGGAAAGATGCAACAAGTTTTTCACATCTGGATTTGGGTATCCTCTGCTATTCCTCCTTGCAGATCCTCTCCAGTTCTGTCAGGTTGGATGGTAAACGTTGGTGGACAGCCATTTTCAGGTCTCTCCAGAGATGCTCAATTGGGTTTAAGTCAGGGCTCTGGCTGGGCCATTCAAGAACAGCCACGGAGTTGTTGTGAAGCCACTCCTTCGTTATTTTAGCGGTGTGCTTAGGGTCATTGTCTTGTTGGAAGGTAAACCTTCGGCCCAGTCTGAGGTCCAGAGCACTCTGGAAAAGGTTTTCGTCCAGGATATCCCTGTACTTGGCCGCATTCATCTTTCCCTCGATTGCAACCGGTCGTCCTGTCCCTGCAGCTGAAAAACACCCCCACAGCATGATGCTGCCACCACCATGCTTCACTGTTGAGACTGTATTGGACAGGTGATGAGCAGTGCCTGGTTTTCTCCACACATACCGCTTAGAATTAAGGCCAAAAAGTTCTATCTTGGTCTCATCAGACCAGAGGATCTTATTTATCACCATCTTGGAGTCCTTCAGGTGTTTTTTAGCAAACTCCATGCGGGCTTTCATGTGTCTTGCACTGAGGAGAGGCTTCCTTCGGGCCACTCTGCCATAAAGCCCCGACTGGTGGATTGCTGCAGTGATGGTTGACTTACTACAACTTTCTCCCATCTCCCGACTGCATCTCTGGAGCTCAGCCACAGTGACCTTTGGGTTCTTCTTTACCTCTCTCACCAAGGCTCTTCTCCCCCGATAGCTCAGTTTGGCCGGACGGCCAGCTCTAGGAAGGGTTCTGGTCGTCCCAAACGTCTTCCATTTGAGGATTATGGAGGCCACTGTGCTCTTAGGAACCTTAAGTGCAGCAGAAATGTTTTTGTAACCTTGGCTGGATCTGTGCCATACCACAATTCTGTCTCTGAGCTCTTCAGGCAGTTCCTTTGACCTCATGATTCTCATTTGCTCTGACATGCACTGTGAGCTGTAAGGTCTTATATAGACAGGTGTGTGGCTTTCCTAATCAAGTCCAATCAGTATATATAAGGGTCTGAATACTTATGACCATGTGATATTTCAGTTTTTCTTTTTTAATAAATTTGCAAAAATTTCTACATTTCTGTTTTTTTCTGTCAAGATGGGGTGCTGAGTGTACATTACTGAGAAATAAAATGAACTTTTTTGATTTTTGGAAAATGGCTGCAATGAAACAAAGAGTGAAAAATTTAAAGGGGTCTGAATACTTTCCGTACCCACTGTATATATATACACACACACACACACACACACACACGGACGGACGGACGGACGGACGGACGGACGAGCAGCAGCAGCAGCAGCAGCAGCAGGGCGAGAGGCGCCGTCGCGGTGGAATAAAGTTACCGTGGGGGTTAAGTTAGCTCCAAACTACTGTAACGTCAGTGGATGACAGCTACGCTCGTCACTGAAAGTACGTGCAATAAAACCTTCGCAAGTAAA